AGTGAGTGTTGGGCAGCAGAGCACCATCTCACATCATTAGTTTCTCCATTTCTCACTCTAGGTTCTGATGTTGAACGTGATTGTATGATAAAGATGAATGTTGTTTGCTGGTGGTTTGGAATGGATGGGAGGAAGAAGTTGATGGTGAAGGTTGCATGAGAGATTGGTTTTCTTGCGGGAGGTGCAGTGATGATAAAAACATGTAGAGTGGAGGTTTTGATGAAAGATGGTGTATTGGTTGGAGGAAGAAAAATAGTGGAAGCTTATTTGAGGGTACGGGGTGTTGAAGAAAATGAAACTTTCCTCTATGTCAAATAAAATGGACCACGTCAGAGGAACTGTGCCACGCTATTCACTGTGTTCTATTTAAACGATCTTACCAAAAAGAACTAAATTGACGGTTCTGATGTTGAACGCGATTGTATGATCAAGATGAATATTGTTTGATGGTGGTTTCGAATGGATGGGAGGAAAAAGATGATGGTGAAGGTTGCATGAGAGATTGGTTTTCTTGCGGGAGGTGCACTGATGATAAAAAAAACGTGTAGAGTGGAGGAGGTTTTGATGAAAGATGGTATGTTGGTTGGAGGAAGAAAAATACTGGAAGCTTATGTGAGGATACGGGGTACTGAAGAAAATGAAGCTTCCTCTGCGTCAAATAAAATCAACCACGTCAGATGAAATGTGTCACGCTATTCATTATGTATTTAAACGGTCTTACCAAAGAAAACTAAATTGACAAAATTGGGATTTGAGAGAAAAAAAAAGGAATAATAAAATGTAATTAAACAGAAATCACAACTTATGACTGTTCTGAGTAGCATAAGTTTTCTTTATCCAATTGCCTGGTTGATGGCGCAATTGTTGGGTCGGAGTCACATGTGAAACTGTCAATAAAATCAAATGCAATGTGGTGACTGAAATGATTCAGGTCCTATATTTTGAGTCTGTTTCTCATCATATTTTGTGCTGCATTTGTTAAGCCTGGTTCCTGTTTCGATCTGTTTTTGCTCAGTATACTTGCATGTTTAATATTCTCTGCATTCTCGTCTGGTTTCAATGAATTTTCCTCCCTCGTTATGCAATAAGGCAGTATTATTAGCTAATTATGAATGTTTAATGTACTTAAAGAAGCCTATCCATTAATTCAACTACATGAGAATTTATTTTGACAGATTTGCCATTTATGTCCGCTTGCTTTTACTACTGCCGTGTTTAATCTTTCTTTCTGATTGGCAGAAACTATTGGCGGGACTATGATACCGCACTTTTCATATTAAAACACCTGTATCGAGATACACCAGAAGATCAAGATATAATAGAAGATCCCGATTTTTCAATCGTACCTAGCATGGACAAATCAAAACACGAGAGTACCTCTGTTGGCTGGTATGAACCCAGAGACACTATAGAGGAAGATCTTCCGTTAACTTTCTCGGACAAGGTTATGGTCCGAAGCTTCTCCAGCAAAGCTAAGAAGGTTCTGCAGAAGCACACTGCGCCTAATTACTAAATGCATGGCTGCTGGTGAATCCCTCAAGGTTACCTGCACTGCGATTCAATTGTACATGTTCATATGATATTAACATCCATCTCAACTTGCGGTTACCGACTCTACTCAATGTAATCGAGATTGTGTAATTTTGCGAAAGAATGTATAGTAGACGGATCTGCATCATAGGGTTGCTTCATATAGCTGGCTTGTGTAGTGTTGAATTAGACAGACTATTTCCAACATATATATGGAATAACAAAATATTAGAGGAAATAAAGGAAATTTCCTTCTGCACCACGATTGGTAACTTAGTATAAGAGTTTGACGAAAAAATGATTCTACCTACTTACCTAACCAAATACTGTTTTCTGCAGAGATAACGAGAAGGTATAGTTCCCCAAGAAATTGTTTCTTTTATTCTTTTTGTTTCCCTGTTTCCTTTTGTTTGGTATCCATTTCTTGTACTCATAACATGAAGATAAAAGAATTTACAGGTGCATAAATGTGAACTAACTTGGTATGTAAGAACAACAAAGTAGAATTGTAGAGAAAGGTGCCAACACAGAAAGAAAGAATACTACGTTTAACAGAGCGAAATGGATTGATGGTAGCTTCACTTCTCCTCGAAGTCGACATCAATAATGTCAGGATCTGATCTTGAATTGGTTCTACCACCTGCCCCTCTTGAAAAGAAATCCCCGTTACCGCCTTTAGGCTGCCACACGATGTTTCCACAGCCTGTACATCGAATTACTTGGTTCTTGTAGCCAGTAAACTGCATCTTGCAAGCCGGACAGGATCCCTGTCCAGTTTGAATTTGAATTTAAATTAGAGTACAACATAAAGTAGCAGAGATTGAGAATAATGGGATAGGATGGGTACCTTGATAACTAAGGAGTTGGCCAAGGTTCCAATGAGAAGAGGCCCAGCAAATGGAAGTACCCATGTTGCGATTATCAGAATCCGAAAAAGCCAACCAGAAAGTGCGAACCAGATGAAGAAAAGCGTCTGAGCAGTGATAACCAGTCGAAATTAAGTGTGAAATGAAATATGGTTGCGTTATATACTGATAGAAAGAAGCGCGGATTTACTTACAGCGAAACTCTTTCCGATAGGACTGTCGAGAAAATCGTTGAGCTGCTTCCTGTACTGCACCGGTGCAAAATCACAATCAAATCAATCACATAATCACATTCATCCATCATACCAATATACAAAAACATACACTCACTGACCTTGGGCCAGTTCCTTTGGAAATCGATGCTTAAAGTGCGGTAGCGCTGTCCAATCTCAAATTCACGATCAATCTCTCGGGCTCGGTCAGCGGCGGCCCTGGCGACGGAAGAGAGACGGCGTGAAAGGGAATAGCGGCGGTCGATGCGTTCGGCGGTCTTCCTGGCTTCGAACACGAAGCGCTCAAAGCCATCGTTGGCACTTCTCCATGCCTCCCTCCAAACCCTATCCGTGTCTCCCCTGCCCTTACCCTTTCCATTTCCATTACCGAAGGCTTTCAGTGTCACCCTCCCTCTCCTCTTCACCACAGACTCAGCCCTAAACCTAGCGCTCGGTGGTTGCCACCGCACAGGCACCGTTGCCGCCATCATTTTCTCTGTCTCACACTTCACGCTCCCCTCATCCCCTCCTTCAACTCAACTCACCTCGCGCTATATGTAATGTATCTCTCTATTTTACTCTATCACCATAATTATTATAATATATTTTCTCCTGTTTATTTATTTATTTATTTATTTTATATTAATTACCTTAATTTCATTTCACCCATTATGTTCTGCTATCATCTAAACCAAACAATACCTACATATTTATGTTTTTAAATTATTTTTTTATCCTTACATAAAAAAAATTATATAGACTTTTATGACTAAAAATTAAAGAAATCAAATTACTATTCTCGCATAACCAACACAAAAAAGTTCACTAAAAAAAACAGCCCTAAGTTAACTGAAAATTTATTTGAAAAACAACACTGAATTGTGATTAAGTTATGACTGAGTTTTTTTAATGAACAATAAAAGCTCAATGAGAAAAAAAACATTATAAATAGATAAACACTGAATTGTTATTAAGTCGTGATTGAGTTCTTTTTAATCAGAACACTAAAAGTTCAATAAAAACTATTATCCATAAATAAAGATTTCCCAAGTTAAAAAGATTAAAGGTTTAATACCTCTTTTGGTCCCTCGAAAGGGGACAAATATTCAATTAGGTCCTACCTTTTTTTTAGAAGTTCAATGTCGTCCCAAATTTTGTAAAAAGTGTGCAATCAAGTCCTTTTTGGAAACGACATTAATTTTTTAACGGAACAGCTGACATGGTGGACTGAAGTTTGCTAAGTGACTGTGTGAGGGTAATACGTGGTTTTCCTAATTCGAAAAATCCTAAATTTGAAAATTAGGAACCTAATTAAAATTAGAATTAAGAGGGAAAACTCCCAATCTGAAAGGATTATGAACCCTAAATTGGAAATCCCAATTTCTTTCTACCCTCTTCTTCTTATGTCTGCTTCGTCACGCTCATGTGAGGGAAAGATATAGTTTTCCCTTCTCTTCTTCTCCTTCGGCGCTGCTCTGCAACCATATGGCAGCTTCCTTTCTTTCACGTTGGGACAACTTGCGACAGCTTTGGGGTGGTCCGCTGCTGCGGAGCTTGTGAGCGACACAGCGGCAGAGGCGCGACCCTTGGGGTTTCGATGGTGGTTCGCGCGGTGGGTCTCGAGCGACAGGTTTTCGGAGATCAACGAAACTTCGCCGAGGTTGGCCGCTGGATCTCTGGGTTTTGGTTTTTGTTTTTGGTTATGGTTTCTGCAGGTGGAGGGCTGGCCTCGCGGTACTTTTCGAACACGACGAACACCCTTCAGAAGAAGTCATTCGTATCTCAAACACCAATTTCTCTCTAACTCAAACCCTAATTTCTTAACCTCAGTAATATTACCCTCTCACAGCCACGTATCACCCTCACACAGTCACGTATTACCCTCACACAGCCACGTAGCTAACTTCAGTCCACCCTGTCAGCTGCTCCGTTAAAAAATCAACGCCGTTTTCAAAAAGGACTTGATTGCACACTTTTTACAAAATTTGGGACCACATTGAACTTCTAAAAAAAGGTAGGACCCAATTGAACATTTGCCCCTTTCGAGAGACCAAAAGAGAGGTATTAAACCAAGATTAAATTAATATTTTATTTATAGAAACATCGAAAGACTATTCTTCTTGTTCATATATATTGAAATTTCTTATCCACGAGGACAAGGACTACTAGTATTCTGTTTACATAATCCCATTCTGTTCAGTGGTCACGTGTGAAAAAAGCAACCTTATAATTTATTAATATTTAATAATAAAAATATAAACAATGAATATACATGGCATGAGCACATGCCACGTTTAGGTTTGGAGCTTTGAGCCGAAATCGAGGAAGAACATGATTTCTCCATGGCATAAATAAAAAGGAAAAATGTCGTTTTTAAAATCATTTTTTAAATGGATTAATAAATATCAGAAGAAGAATATAAATGGTGGATAGAGATACTGCAAAAGAGAAAACAGAAGAGAAGAGAAGAGATGGCAAAGAATGTGATGAATGCGATTCAGTACGAGAAGTATGGAGGAGGTCCCGGCGGCTTGAAGGTTCCGTGGCTTCTTCTGTTTCTATTCATTAAGTGTGTTACTGCTGTTTAATTCGAATAATCTTAATTTGCATATTGTGTCGTAAGCAGCACGTTGAAGTTGGAGTTCCCAGTCCAAAGAAGAAGGAGGTTCTGGTGAAAGTGGAAGCGGTTAGCATCAACCCAGTCGATTGGAAGATTCAGAAGGGTGTTATGAGACCTTTATTTGTCCCTGGAAACTTTCCTCATACACCTTGTATTCATCTTTTCTCATCCAACTCTTCACCCTCTCTTCCTTCCTTTCTGCTATTTACGTTTAACAAAATTTCTTTTCTTACAGGCACCGATGTCGCTGGAGAGGTGGTTCAGATCGGACCACAAGTCAACGATTTCAAAGTTGGAGACAAAGTCCTTTCCAAACTCTCTACTCGAGTAATTATGCAAATCCTTAAATCAACTAACAATCGCCTTTTTTGAATCCATCCCTTCAAAACTAAATCATAGTATGATGGTGACACTGTCAAATTATTTCTATGCTAAATAAATGCGATGTCATAACTGTACTTGTTATAATTGATTGAAAAATTTATTCACTTGTGTGTGTGGTATTGATTCTGTGTTGTGTATGGTGAATTACGACATGGCAGTATGGAGGTGGATTGGCTGAATTTGCTGTGGCTAGTGAGAGCTTAACAGCTTCGAGGCCACCGGAAGTCTCGGCTGCTGAAGCTGCAGCGTTACCTATTGCCGGGCTCACAGCTCGTGATGCCCTCGCTCAAATTGCAGGAGTGAAGCTTGATGGGACTGGTGAGCCTAAGAACGTTTTGGTAACTGCTGCTTCAGGTGGTGTAGGTCACTATGCTGTTCAACTGGCAAAGCTAGGGAACAACCATGTCACAGCCACTTGTGGGGCTCGCAACATTGAGTTTGTTAAGGGCTTAGGTGCTGACGAGGTTCTTGATTACAGGACTCCGGAGGGGGCAGCACTCAAGAGTCCATCTGGTAGGAAATATGATGCAGTCATAAACTGCACAACTGGAATACCTTGGTCGACTTTAGATGCTAATTTGACTGAAAAGGCAGTGGTGGTTGATTTAACTCCTAATCCATCTTCATTTCTGACTGCTGCTCTGAAGAAAGTTACTTTTTCCAAGAAGCGGCTGGTGCCATTTTTTGTAGATGTCAAGCGTGAGGGCCTGGACAATCTACTTCAGTTATTGAAGGATGGGAAACTCAAGTCTGTTATTGATTCCAGATTTCCTTTGAGCAAAGCCGAAGATGCTTGGGCTAAGAGCATTGATGGCCATGCCACTGGAAAAATCATTGTTGAACCATAGTTTATTGGCTACTTTGCTTGGAGCTGTTGTAATCATGTAATTTCTGCATTTTTATCCGGAAAAAGTTTGTGTAAGTTAAAAGCTCTGGCTATATTTGTTGTTAATGTTTGTTGTACTCAATCAATAATTCGTGAATTCATTATTGTGTTTATCAAATCCGTGGTGAAGTCAATGGGAAGATATTTCTTCTTCTAGATCCAGTTTTCCTCCTGCAGAGGCCAATGATGTGATGCTTATTTAATGCGATTGTTTGTCGTACTTCAAGTTCTTTAAATTAAAATTGTTGCATGAATTCTTACTTTACATTACTGACAACCACGTCTAACCAGGTATAAACCCTAAACATTTATTATTTTTTTTCTTACATTTCATAGTTATATCTTTCATTATTCATTTTTCCATACATTCCACAATTACATCATTCGTTCATCTAGCCAAAATATGTATTGAATAGTTGTAATACTTAACTTTTCCATTGAAAGTTTAAACTAAATTTCGCAAAAAGGGTATTTTTGTTGATAAAGTATATAATTAAGCCTTTAATTTACAACTATTTACGACCATCGAAAAAATATTAATACACTCTATTTAAAAATATGGTTAAATATGTTTTTGTCCCTTATACTTTGTTCTTTTGAGGTGATTTAAGAAAGATGATTTGAATGGATTTGAGAGTAATATTTTTGTTGTTTTTTTTAAGTGGATTTGTGGGTAATTGAGAGTAAATTTGGAGGTAAAGTTTGTGAGAATTAGTGTAGGATTTGATTTATAGGACAAATTTAAAAAATTGTTTAATTGGTAGAAATTAAATATTACAAAAATTTCCCTAGTAATATCAAATGTTATTTGTTAATGTTATATTTAATTGTAAAAATGTTTATAAAGAGTAAAAAATTAAAAATAATAATTAAAATTAATTTTTTAAAAGTAAAAAAATTATAATTTAGTAAAATGAATTTATTAAAAAAATTATAATTTTTAGAAGTAAAATGAATTTAGTAAAAAAATTATAATGCAGAAGTAATTTGCAAACAGGAAGTTCTAATAAATTTTAATTTTTTGTTAAGAATGAAGAGTGTGTTCAAAAAATAGTAATTTTATTAATTAGCATAATTTATTGGCTTAATTTTTCATATCTTACCTCATTTTTTGAGCTTTAAGATATTCCATGCCGCTGAAAGCACCATAGATGCTTTGTGCTACTCTCACATCCCATCCTAATTCTGCAAAATTCCTTTGGTAGTAATTTGGTGATATCAGCAACAATACTTCTCAAGCTAGAGAATAATGAAGAAGGTAAAAAGTTTATAAGATTGCATACTTTTCTTTAAATGAATTAAGTGCAGTGGAAGACTCATATCCGATTGTTATATAGTGAGCCAGGCGCATTGCTTCTATCTCTGGTATGGTCACATCTATGATCTTGCATGTTTGAGACAGAAAGTTAGCATGTGTTGTTTCTCAATTATGGGTTCAGTAACAGTATTACAAGTGCTTTAAGAAATTTCTGCCTTAAAAATATGGCTTCTTCCAAATTCACATAAAATAAGATACGATTTTGTTTATGTGGGGAAAGCAGAAACCATGCTAATATATCAGTGGTCACCGTTAGCATTTTTATATTTTTCAGTACCTTCCAATTGTAATGATCCTGAAGCTTGAGCAAAGTTTTGGAGCAACATATTCTGACTTCATTGCTGCAGTCATCAAACCACTAATTGATGGAAGTAGTGGTTAAACAACATGATTTAACCTATTTCTAAAAATTTTATAATCATAATGCAGATATTTGTAGCTGTCAACAGGACTCTATCTAACCTTTCCGTATTTTGCTAATTTGATGTCAGATATGCCTTTTGTCAAACTCAGTCGTGGAAGATTTATGCTGGTCTGAAGATTAAATAATAAGAAATTCAAAGATATTAGAATTTTAGAACTTGAAAGTGCATATCTAATCAGAATCATATGTGATATTATAAACATGGACAGAGTAATCGATGGTAAAAAATCATTAATTTGAAAAACGATCTTACCAATACACCGAAAATCTTCTGATATGAAATTTCACCACTGATAGCTGCATAACTATAAACAATGAAACAGTAGATGTTGAAAAACCAATCTTAAAATTTCCTTGTAGAAAGAATATCATAGAAAGGAGTACTAACACAATCAATGCATCCTCAACTGTGCCTGCTAGTATTCCAACCATTCCAACTGTCCAATTCAGGGGAAGAACTCTGAATATAGCAGAAGATCATTCTCCTAAGTTATTACATTATAATCCTTAAAGTATTTAAAGATGATAAAACAAATATGAATACCTACCCATCATGTGGTATACGTGCAAAAGTTGGTTTTAGACCAACAACACCGCAAAGAGATGCTGGCATCCTTACAGATCCTGAACATATAAATGAGCAAACATCACAAGTAATAAGAAATAATGAATGCTGATTTCTCTGGTCTTTGATGAACAGATATAAATCAAATACCTCCCCCATCAACACCAAGGGCAACAGGACACAGTCCAGCAGACACCAGAGAAGCAGATCCACTAGAAGAACCCCCTGCAATCTTACTGGTATCGTATGGGTTTCTAGCAGGCCTACAAAGTAATAAGCAAACATGCTCTTATCACCAGCTAGTTCTATGAACATTCCTTGATACTGAATTCACAAGACAAGTCCACCAAAGATGTCACATAATGTGAATATGAGTATAACACAAGGTGATCTTACCCATAATGTGGATTTATCCCACTGGTTCCAGACCCAAGCTCATGCATATTGCTTTTCCCAACAAGTATATGGCGCCACATAACCTTAAACGCTTAACGCAGCAAGCATCATCGTTACACGGCTTTTCTTTGTGCAGCCACGTTGTACCTCCTTGAGAACAACATTTTCAGAGGCTCAAGTGAATCATGAAATCAGCACATAATCATTTGAATAGAAGATTCCTTAGGAAAACAATAACACGTTACACTACCTGTTGTTGGATATGGCAAACAGTCTATCTCATCCTTGATAGCAACAGGAACTCCGTCTAACACTGAAATTGGTTCCCCTGCACAAATATTATTACATCAAGTATCTGAACATTGTTTGTTGAGTAGACGTAATATATGAACACAAATGAGGCTGAATCCTAAATAAGAACGTTTGCAAATATGACAATGTAATTTCTGGGCTACTTCAAAAGTTAAAATATTAGTTTATAAATGCTACACTAGATTTTTTTAACACAGTCTTCATTATATTGATTGAAAATTAGTGAAAACCACATAATTGTGTTGGTCCTACTTCTTATATAAGGAGATTTAAAACTGGGCAGATTAATCAAATAAAAATGACTCAAATATGAAGTGGTCCGATTGAAAAATGAAAAGCATCAACAAAGCAAAGAAATCTGGACAGAAAACAATGAACTCAACAAAATCCTAAAAACAACAGCAACCAGTGATGGCAGATTTGATGGAACAGAACACGTTCAAAACAAAACAAAAAAAAAGGAATTAAATGACAGAGAAGGAAGGCAAAACATCTGGACTTAGCTCTCAACAACAACTTGAACCTGGGCAAGTACACAACATCACTTCCTTTCTTCGGTAGAGAGATCAAAGGGCCCGCACACGCATGCCACAGTTCCAAGCAGACGGAAGAAGGAGGAGGAGGCGGAGGAGGAGAACCAACCAACGTGGAAGCAGAAGTGCTTATCCCAGAGTGAGAAGAAGAAGAAGAAGCTGGGACCGAATACAACACGCTATGGAATCGAATACGCATTGTGTGCAATTTGTTCAAAGCAGTGGAACCGGATACGCTTGAGATGGAACCGAATACAACATGTGGATTTTCTTCTCTGCACTGGAACCGGATACCCCATTTGTGGAACCGAATACACGCCCCTGAAGAACATCAAACTCTTCTTCACCCGCTGCTTCAACCGCTGCTTGAAGCTTTCTTCATCTTCATCCATCAACCTCTCCTCAACATGAAGCTAGGGCTGCAAGCGCTGCAAAAGCAACAAATGCACAGAAAGCTTCAAACAACTTTCGATTGTTGGAATTGGTTCGGTACATTTGCGAATCGATTTTCTGTGTTAAAGCTGATATACATGCAGGGAAATGTATAATAGGTTGAGGGTATATGTGACGTTTCGGTCACAATCCCTCCAAATCTCTTCAAAGTCGTGGGTGATGAAAAAGTATGGTATCCTCCAAACCGCTAGAATTTCCTCGTGCTTTCTCTCATCCGAACGAACACGACTAGATTCTCAAATCATCGCTCGAATTTGTTTCTGATCACTAAAATCTGTTCAAGCGAAGAATGCATTAATTTTCACTGAAAATTAAAATATCTGTTCTCAAAATTTTGAACTAATTTAGTGTTTAAATTTTTAAGGGTTAAATATGTTTTTAGTCCCTAAACTATTGGCCGTTTCTGGTTTTCGTCCCTCTTCCAAAGTAAGGTACAATTTGGTCCTCATTCTTTAGAAAAACGTTCCTTTTAGTCCTCAAAATTTTGTTTTTAGTTCTCGTTTTAGTCCTCAAAACGTTCGTTTTTTCGACTAAAACGAACGTTTTTTAAAGATTGAGGACTAAATTGTANAAGGTTCCAATGAGAAGAGGCCCAGCAAATGGAAGTACCCATGTTGCGATTATCAGAATCCGAAAAAGCCAACCAGAAAGTGCGAACCAGATGAAGAAAAGCGTCTGAGCAGTGATAACCAGTCGAAATTAAGTGTGAAATGAAATATGGTTGCGTTATATACTGATAGAAAGAAGCGCGGATTTACTTACAGCGAAACTCTTTCCGATAGGACTGTCGAGAAAATCGTTGAGCTGCTTCCTGTACTGCACCGGTGCAAAATCACAATCAAATCAATCACATAATCACATTCATCCATCATACCAATATACAAAAACATACACTCACTGACCTTGGGCCAGTTCCTTTGGAAATCGATGCTTAAAGTGCGGTAGCGCTGTCCAATCTCAAATTCACGATCAATCTCTCGGGCTCGGTCAGCGGCGGCCCTGGCGACGGAAGAGAGACGGCGTGAAAGGGAATAGCGGCGGTCGATGCGTTCGGCGGTCTTCCTGGCTTCGAACACGAAGCGCTCAAAGCCATCGTTGGCACTTCTCCATGCCTCCCTCCAAACCCTATCCGTGTCTCCCCTGCCCTTACCCTTTCCATTTCCATTACCGAAGGCTTTCAGTGTCACCCTCCCTCTCCTCTTCACCACAGACTCAGCCCTAAACCTAGCGCTCGGTGGTTGCCACCGCACAGGCACCGTTGCCGCCATCATTTTCTCTGTCTCACACTTCACGCTCCCCTCATCCCCTCCTTCAACTCAACTCACCTCGCGCTATATGTAATGTATCTCTCTATTTTACTCTATCACCATAATTATTATAATATATTTTCTCCTGTTTATTTATTTATTTATTTATTTTATATTAATTACCTTAATTTCATTTCACCCATTATGTTCTGCTATCATCTAAACCAAACAATACCTACATATTTATGTTTTTAAATTATTTTTTTATCCTTACATAAAAAAAATTATATAGACTTTTATGACTAAAAATTAAAGAAATCAAATTACTATTCTCGCATAACCAACACAAAAAAGTTCACTAAAAAAAACAGCCCTAAGTTAACTGAAAATTTATTTGAAAAACAACACTGAATTGTGATTAAGTTATGACTGAGTTTTTTTAATGAACAATAAAAGCTCAATGAGAAAAAAAACATTATAAATAGATAAACACTGAATTGTTATTAAGTCGTGATTGAGTTCTTTTTAATCAGAACACTAAAAGTTCAATAAAAACTATTATCCATAAATAAAGATTTCCCAAGTTAAAAAGATTAAAGGTTTAATACCTCTTTTGGTCCCTCGAAAGGGGACAAATATTCAATTAGGTCCTACCTTTTTTTTAGAAGTTCAATGTCGTCCCAAATTTTGTAAAAAGTGTGCAATCAAGTCCTTTTTGGAAACGACATTAATTTTTTAACGGAACAGCTGACATGGTGGACTGAAGTTTGCTAAGTGACTGTGTGAGGGTAATACGTGGTTTTCCTAATTCGAAAAATCCTAAATTTGAAAATTAGGAACCTAATTAAAATTAGAATTAAGAGGGAAAACTCCCAATCTGAAAGGATTATGAACCCTAAATTGGAAATCCCAATTTCTTTCTACCCTCTTCTTCTTATGTCTGCTTCGTCACGCTCATGTGAGGGAAAGATATAGTTTTCCCTTCTCTTCTTCTCCTTCGGCGCTGCTCTGCAACCATATGGCAGCTTCCTTTCTTTCACGTTGGGACAACTTGCGACAGCTTTGGGGTGGTCCGCAGCAGCGGAGCTTGTGAGCGACACAGCGGCAGAGGCGCGACCCTTGGGGTTTCGATGGTGGTTCGCGCGGTGGGTCTCGAGCGACAGGTTTGCGGAGATCAACGAAACTTCGCCGAGGTTGGCCGCTGGATCTCTGGGTTTTGGTTTTTGTTTTTGGTTATGGTTTCTGCAGGTGGAGGGCTGGCCTCGCGGTACTTTTCGAACACGACGAACACCCTTCAGAAGAAGTCATTCGTATCTCAAACACCAATTTCTCTCTAACTCAAACCCTAATTTCTTAACCTCAGTAATATTACCCTCTCACAGCCACGTATCACCCTCACACAGTCACGTATTACCCTCACACAGCCACGTAGCTAACTTCAGTCCACCCTGTCAGCTGCTCCGTTAAAAAATCAACGCCGTTTCCAAAAAGGACTTGATTGCACACTTTTTACAAAATTTGGGACCACATTGAATTTCTAAAAAAAGATAGGACCCAATTGAACATTTGCCCCTTTCGAGAGACCAAAAGAGAGGTATTAAACCAAGATTAAATTAATATTTTATTTATAGAAACATCGAAAGACTATTCTTCTTGTTCATATATATTGAAATTTCTTATCCACGAGGACAAGGACTACTAGTATTCTGTTTACATAATCCCATTCTGGTCAGTGGTCACGTGTGAAAAAAGCAACCTTATAATTTATTAATATTTAATAATAAAAATATAAACAATGAATATACATGGCATGAGCACATGCCACGTTTAGGTTTGGAGCTTTGAGCCGAAATCGAGGAAGAACATGATTTCTCCATGGCATAAATAAAAAGGAAAAATGTCGTTTTTAAAATCATTTTTTAAATGGATTAATAAATATCAGAAGAAGAATATAAATGGTGGATAGAGATACTGCAAAAGAGAAAACAGAAGAGAAGAGAAGAGATGGCAAAGAATGTGATGAATGCGATTCAGTACGAGAAGTATGGAGGAGGTCCCGGCGGCTTGAAGGTTCCGTGGCTTCTTCTGTTTCTACTCATTAAGTGTGTTACTGCTGTTTAATTCGAATAATCTTAATTTGCATATTGTGTCGTAAGCAGCACGTTGAAGTTGGAGTTCCCAGTCCAAAGAAGAAGGAGGTTCTGGTGAAAGTGGAAGCGGTTAGCATCAACCCAGTCGATTGGAAGATTCAGAAGGGTGTTATGAGACCTTTATTTGTCCCTGGAAACTTTCCTCATACACCTTGTATTCATCTTTTCTCATCCAACTCTTCACCCTCTCTTCCTTCCTTTCTGCTATTTACGTTTAACAAAATTTCTTTTCTTACAGGCACCGATGTCGCTGGAGAGGTGGTTCAGATCGGACCACAAGTCAACGATTTCAAAGTTGGAGACAAAGTCCTTTCCAAACTCTCTACTCGAGTAATTATGCAAATCCTTAAATCAACTAACAATCGCCTTTTTTGAATCCATCCCTTCAAAACTAAATCATAGTATGATGGTGACACTGTCAAATTATTTCTATGCTAAATAAATGCGATGTCATAACTGTACTTGTTATAATTGATTGAAAAATTTATTCACTTGTGTGTGTGGTATTGATTCTGTGTTGTGTATGGTGAATTACGACATGGCAGTATGGAGGTGGATTGGCTGAATTTGCTGTGGCTAGTGAGAGCTTAACAGCTTCGAGGCCACCGGAAGTCTCGGCTGCTGAAGCTGCAGCGTTACCTATTGCCGGGCTCACAGCTCGTGATGCCCTCGCTCAAATTGCAGGAGTGAAGCTTGATGGGACTGGTGAGCCTAAGAACGTTTTGGTAACTGCTGCTTCAGGTGGTGTAGGTCACTATGCTGTTCAACTGGCAAAGCTAGGGAACAACCATGTCACAGCCACTTGTGGGGCTCGCAACATTGAGTTTGTTAAGGGCTTAGGTGCTGACGAGGTTCTTGATTACAGGACTCCGGAGGGGGCAGCACTCAAGAGTCCATCTGGTAGGAAATATGATGCAGTCATAAACTGCACAACTGGAATACCTTGGTCGACTTTAGATGCTAATTTGACTGAAAAGGCAGTGGTGGTTGATTTAACTCCTAATCCATCTTCATTTCTGACTGCTGCTCTGAAGAAAGTTACTTTTTCCAAGAAGCGGCTGGTGCCATTTTTTGTAGATGTCAAGCGTGAGGGCCTGGACAATCTACTTCAGTTATTGAAGGATGGGAAACTCAAGTCTGTTATTGATTCCAGATTTCCTTTGAGCAAAGCCGAAGATGCTTGGGCTAAGAGCATTGATGGCCATGCCACTGGAAAAATCATTGTTGAACCATAGTTTATTGGCTACTTTGCTTGGAGCTGTTGTAATCATGTAATTTCTGCATTTTTATCCGGAAAAAGTTTGTGTAAGTTAAAAGCTCTGGCTATATTTGTTGTTAATGTTTGTTGTACTCAATCAATAATTCGTGAATTCATTATTGTGTTTATCAAATCCGTGGTGAAGTCAATGGGAAGATATTTCTTCTTCTAGATCCAGTTTTCCTCCTGCAGAGGCCAATGATGTGATGCTTATTTAATGCGATTGTTTGTCGTACTTCAAGTTCTTTAAATTAAAATTGTTGCATGAATTCTTACTTTACATTACTGACAACCACGTCTAACCAGGTATAAACCCTAAACATTTATTATTTTTTTTCTTACATTTCATAGTTATATCTTTCATTATTCATTTTTCCATACATTCCACAATTACATCATTCGTTCATCTAGCCAAAATATGTATTGAATAGTTGTAATACTTAACTTTTCCATTGAAAGTTTAAACTAAATTTCGCAAAAAGGGTATTTTTGTTGATAAAGTATATAATTAAGCCTTTAATTTACAACTATTTACGACCATCGAAAAAATATTAATACACTCTATTTAAAAATATGGTTAAATATGTTTTTGTCCCTTATACTTTGTTCTTTTGAGGTGATTTAAGAAAGATGATTTGAATGGATTTGAGAGTAATATTTTTGTTGTTTTTTTTAAGTGGATTTGTGGGTAATTGAGAGTAAATTTGGAGGTAAAGTTTGTGAGAATTAGTGTAGGATTTGATTCATAGGACAAATTTAAAAAATTGTTTAATTGGTAGAAATTAAATATTACAAAAATATCCCTAGTAATATCAAATGTTATTTGTTAATGTTATATTTAATTGTAAAAATGTTTATAAAGAGTAAAAAATTAAAAATAATAATTAAAATTAATTTTTTAAAAGTAAAAAAATTATAATTTAGTAAAATGAATTTATTAAAAAAATTATAATTTTTAGAAGTAAAATGAATTTAGTAAAAAAATTATAATGCAGAAGTAATTTGCAAACAGGAAGTTCTAATAAATTTTAATTTTTTGTTAAGAATGAAGAGTGTGTTCAAAAAATAGTAATTTTATTAATTAGCATAATTTATTGGCTTAATTTTTCATATCTTACCTCATTTTTTGAGCTTTAAGATATTCCATGCCGCTGAAAGCACCATAGATGCTTTGTGCTACTCTCACATCCCATCCTAATTCTGCAAAATTCCTTTGGTAGTAATTTGGTGATATCAGCAACAATACTTCTCAAGCTAGAGAATAATGAAGAAGGTAAAAAGTTTATAAGATTGCATACTTTTCTTTAAATGAATTAAGTGCAGTGGAAGACTCATATCCGATTGTTATATAGTGAGCCAGGCGCATTGCTTCTATCTCTGGTATGGTCACATCTATGATCTTGCATGTTTGAGACAGAAAGTTAGCATGTGTTGTTTCTCAATTATGGGTTCAGTAACAGTATTACAAGTGCTTTAAGAAATTTCTGCCTTAAAAATATGGCTTCTTCCAAATTCACATAAAATAAGATACGATTTTGTTTATGTGGGGAAAGCAGAAACCATGCTAATATATCAGTGGTCACCGTTAGCATTTTTATATTTTTCAGTACCTTCCAATTGTAATGATCCTGAAGCTTGAGCAAAGTTTTGGAGCAACATATTCTGACTTCATTGCTGCAGTCATCAAACCACTAATTGATGGAAGTAGTGGTTAAACAACATGATTTAACCTATTTCTAAAAATTTTATAATCATAATGCAGATATTTGTAGCTGTCAACAGGACTCTATCTAACCTTTCCGTATTTTGCTAATTTGATGTCAGATATGCCTTTTGTCAAACTCAGTCGTGGAAGATTTATGCTGGTCTGAAGATTAAATAATAAGAAATTCAAAGATATTAGAATTTTAGAACTTGAAAGTGCATATCTAATCAGAATCATATGTGATATTATAAACATGGACAGAGTAATCGATGGTAAAAAATCATTAATTTGAAAAACGATCTTACCAATACACTGAAAATCTTCTGATATGAAATTTCACCACTGATAGCTGCATAACTATAAACAATGAAACAGTAGATGTTGAAAAACCAATCTTAAAATTTCCTTGTAGAAAGAATATCATAGAAAGGAGTACTAACACAATCAATGCATCCTCAACTGTGCCTGCTAGTATTCCAACCATTCCAACTGTCCAATTCAGGGGAAGAACTCTGAATATAGCAGAAGATCATTCTCCTAAGTTATTACATTATAATCCTTAAAGTATTTAAAGATGATAAAACAAATATGAATACCTACCCATCATGTGGTATACGTGCAAAAGTTGGTTTTAGACCAACAACACCGCAAAGAGATGCTGGCATCCTTACAGATCCTGAACATATAAATGAGCAAACATCACAAGTAATAAGAAATAATGAATGCTGATTTCTCTGGTCTTTGATGAACAGATATAAATCAAATACCTCCCCCATCAACACCAAGGGCAACAGGACACAGTCCAGCAGACACCAGAGAAGCAGATCCACTAGAAGAACCCCCTGCAATCTTACTGGTATCGTATGGGTTTCTAGCAGGCCTACAAAGTAATAAGCAAACATGCTCTTATCACCAACTAGTTCTATGAACATTCCTTGATACTGAATTCACAAGACAAGTCCACCAAAGATGTCACATAATGTGAATATGAGTATAACACAAGGTGATCTTACCCATAATGTGGATTTATCCCACTGGTTCCAGACCCAAGCTCATGCATATTGCTTTTCCCAACAAGTATATGGCGCCACATAACCTTAAACGCTTAACGCAGCAAGCATCATCGTTACACGGCTTTTCTTTGTGCAGCCACGTTGTACCTCCTTGAGAACAACATTTTCAGAGGCTCAAGTGAATCATGAAATCAGCACATAATCATTTGAATAGAAGATTCCTTAGGAAAACAATAACACGTTACACTACCTGTTGTTGGATATGGCAAACAGTCTATCTCATCCTTGATAGCAACAGGAACTCCGTCTAACACTGAAATTGGTTCCCCTGCACAAATATTATTACATCAAGTATCTGAACATTGTTTGTTGAGTAGACGTAATATATGAACACAAATGAGGCTGAATCCTAAATAAGAACGTTTGCAAATATGACAATGTAATTTCTGGGCTACTTCAAAAGTTAAAATATTAGTTTATAAATGCTACACTAGATTTTTTTAACACAGTCTTCATTATATTGATTGAAAATTAGTGAAAACCACATAATTGTGTTGGTCCTACTTCTTATATAAGGAGATTTAAAACTGGGCAGATTAATCAAATAAAAATGACTCAAATATGAAGTGGTCCGATTGAAAAATGAAAAGCATCAACAAAGCAAAGAAATCTGGACAGAAAACAATGAACTCAACAAAATCCTAAAAACAACAGCAACCAGTGATGGCAGATTTGATGGAACAGAACACGTTCAAAACAAAACAAAAAAAAAGGAATTAAATGACAGAGAAGGAAGGCAAAACATCTGGACTTAGCTCTCAACAACAACTTGAACCTGGGCAAGTACACAACATCACTTCCTTTCTTCGGTAGAGAGATCAAAGGGCCCGCACACGCATGCCACAGTTCCAAGCAGACGGAAGAAGGAGGAGGAGGCGGAGGAGGAGAACCAACCAACGTGGAAGCAGAAGTGCTTATCCCAGAGTGAGAAGAAGAAGAAGAAGCTGGGACCGAATACAACACGCTATGGAATCGAATACGCATTGTGTGCAATTTGTTCAAAGCAGTGGAACCGGATACGCTTGAGATGGAACCGAATACAACATGTGGATTTTCTTCTCTGCACTGGAACCGGATACCCCATTTGTGGAACCGAATACACGCCCCTGAAGAACATCAAACTCTTCTTCACCCGCTGCTTCAACCGCTGCTTGAAGCTTTCTTCATCTTCATCCATCAACCTCTCCTCAACATGAAGCTAGGGCTGCAAGCGCTGCAAAAGCAACAAATGCACAGAAAGCTTCAAACAACTTTCGATTGTTGGAATTGGTTCGGTACATTTGCGAATCGATTTTCTGTGTTAAAGCTGATATACATGCAGGGAAATGTATAATAGGTTGAGGGTATATGTGACGTTTCGGTCACAATCCCTCCAAATCTCTTCAAAGTCGTGGGTGATGAAAAAGTATGGTATCCTCCAAACCGCTAGTATTTCCTCGTGCTTTCTCTCATCCGAACGAACACGACTAGATTCTCAAATCATCGCTCGAATTTGTTTCTGATCACTAAAATCTGTTCAAGCGAAGAATGCATTAATTTTCACTGAAAATTAAAATATCTGTTCTCAAAATTTTGAACTAATTTAGTGTTTAAATTTTTAAGGGTTAAATATGTTTTTAGTCCCTAAACTATTGGCCGTTTCTGGTTTTCGTCCCTCTTCCAAAGTAAGGTACAATTTGGTCCTCATTCTTTAGAAAAACGTTCCTTTTAGTCCTCAAAATTTTGTTTTTAGTTCTCGTTTTAGTCCTCAAAACGTTCGTTTTTTCGACTAAAACGAACGTTTTTTAAAGATTGAGGACTAAATTGTACCTTACTTTGGAAGAGGGACGAAAACCAGAAACGGCCAATAGTTTAGGGACTAAAAACATATTTAACCCAATTTTTAAAATGTGTGAATTTAGTTATTTTAACTAAATTTTGTTAATTTTATTTGATGCTATCCATTAATATTGAAGCAAAAATGTGTAAAATATGTAAATAATTCAAATGTTATCCACTTGAAACATCAAATAAATCTAACAAAATTTAATTAATATGACTAAATTCACACCTTTCTAAAGTTTGAAAACTAAATTAGTCCA